CACAGCTCTCAAATAATCCCACAATTATTTTTTCTCATGTTTAAATGCACACACTCCGACAGTTCTCTGCAGGGCAAACATGACCAGGCAATTCTTCCCTGATATTCAGACGGTGCTGCAGATGCTGAGTGCCAGAGCCTCATCCTTGTCACGCTTTCCCCTCTCTCTCTCTCCACACCCACACAAACCTGGGCGAGGGAAACCCCAGGACCCCCTCCAACTTCTGGCCCTCAGGCTTTTTTAACTACTGCAGCCAGTCCACCACCACTGTCTTAACAAGCAGAAAATCACACCCGGTTTAGCTGTGTCATCCATCTCACTCCCCTTTCTGCAAAACACATTTATGATAATTTACCCAGCTAAATATTCATAACTGCAGGTGTAATTATCAGAAAGCACTCTCTATACCCGCATATGGAAACGACAAAAGCGTATGATCGATAGCTATTGATCTGCCACCTTTGACTTGTGTTGGCACGGCTTCACATTGGGCTTAAAGCCGTTCGTGGATTCTAGGTTTATAGGAGACTTATGGCACAAGGCTGGAATCACAATATGCTGCTGCCTGCAACAAATACGCTCTAAAACTAACACATAGATGGTTAAGAATGAAATCACAAAGTCTTGTTCTGATATACGGACGTCTCTGGGTGTTTTATGGAGTGTGCAGTGTTACCGATGAACATGGCTTTCTGAATGATACAAATGACAGTGGAGAAAAAAACTCAAAACAAAATATATCTTTTGAATGGGAAATGGCTCTTGAAAATACCACACGGAATAGGAAGATGACATCTGGGACAACACATGAATCTTTCACATTCAGAGTGTACTTAATGCACTTTAATGTACAACACAACGTAAAAGTTACAGCTCTGTTGAGAATAATTGCATTTGCACATTTTAGAACAGTCTTTGCACAAATTGCCTTTTAAGTCACGCCTTAAAGCTGGGGTACCCAACTTTTTATGTTTCATAAACAACACCATATATGTATCTCAACATAGAGAGTACTGAAAACGTAAGCATGGTATAATGAGTATACTTGCAGGAAAGAGCCTGACGAGTCACAATTTGACACTTTGGGCTGAGAGCTGACTGACTGAGTGAGGGTGGCATCTCTCGTTCCATTTTCAAAAAAAGATTACCTGATATAAAAGGTATATAGGAGGATATTCTTCCACCGGGTGGAGCATCAAGACTATTGGTCCTCTAAATTGTCAATCATTCTGATGATGCGTGCCAGAAATAAGACCAGAGAGTTTTGTTCAAAAAGTGGAAAGGGCGGATCTTTCCTAAAGTTTGGGAAAATCTTCCAATATTATACCTTTAGAGAGGAGATCAAAACGTATGCATGTGAAAAACTGATGACAAAAACCAAACTGAAACTTCTTATAGATCGATTTTATGTTACATTGCAGTTGGAAAATTGGGTACTCCAGCTTTAAACTTGCATCACAAACTTAGTACACCCCCTTTCCCCCCACCATTACCTCGGTAGCACATGGCAATCCACAGCACCTCCAGCACTTGTCCCCCGAACTCACACGCGTCCACTCCCAGCATGGCTCACCGGGCGTGGGGCTTCTGTCTACGCGATCACCGTGACCAGAGAACCGGCTAGAACCGTGGGCTGTTTTGGAACGGGGTGGGGGACCTCTTCCTCCACAGGTAGTGCCCACAGAAGTAGAACGTCGAGCATCCACGAGAAACAGCGGCGAGATAGTGGAATCAGTCAGTGCTCATGCAGGGAGAAGGAGAAGAACGCGCGTCTCCGTCCGTGGGCGTGGGTATGACAAGACGAGATGAAAATAATAATAAACAATTCCAATACAAAGAGATGTCAGAAAAGCAGCACGCCACGCACGACCCCGGCTCTGACAACTTCTCCAAGCGTGCTTTTTTCTTGGGAGTGGTGAAACTATTTAAGACAGAGTGAGGATGTGGAGCAGGAGGAGGATGACGCCGGTTTTGCAGAGAGAGAGAGAGAGAGAGACGGACTGTGCGTGCCCCCCACCACCCCCTCCACGATCAGCCCAGAGACTGCAATGAGCTCATCCTTTACCCGCCCCATCCCTGTATGGCTGTCTCTCCTCCCTTAGCTCCTCTCATGCCCCATCGAACCAGTGGCTTTGACTTCAACCCTGTGTCCAGTGTGTTCTGCCTCTATCCATCTTTCGCTCACCCCGCACCTCCACCACCAACACAGGCACACTACTCATTTTCCCCTTTTCTGCCTGCTTTTAGTGACCACACCCTGTCAGCACAATGATTACATACACACAAGTTAAACAAAGGAGTATAGTCCACCATCCACTTTGATGTAGATCCTCAAGAGTATTGAGAAATGATCATATATTTACACTCATTTTCAATTAGTCATACCATTAGAATATATTATCTGTAAATGTATAAATTATAAGCAAACATTGCTGCATGGAAATGTAAAGTTACAAAAGGAATTCAGCCTGTATTTTCTTTTATTGTGACCACTGCAGCAAATGTTTGAGGGTTTTGTTTTTAAATATAAAAGCAATTGATATAATTTCTTTTTTTTTTAATATAATTGTCTTTATTTTCAGTATTTCAAGGTCTGACAACTCATGGCAGATGGCAATAACAGTTCAAAACAAGAAGAAAAAAAAATGATGCCCCAGCTGCAGCCAAAAAATAAATAAATAATATATATATATACACACATACACATATAAATAAATTATATATAATATATATATATAATATAATATATTAATTATATATATATATATATATATATATATATACACACATACATGCATACATTTACACAGTTCAAAAATGTTCTCTGCAAAAAAGAAAAAGGATAAAAATATTAAATCAATAAAGGCATCAGTCATAAAAAAACAATTGATATAATTTCAAGCTTCTTGCAATACTGTATAATATATAAAACAAGTAAAGCACTTTTAAGGATAGTCTTTTGGCATTTGTATCTTTCTTTCTTGTTCAGGATGATGCTATGGTGCTCCGCAAAATCCAGCTTTATTCAGGCCACAAAAAATATAAGAAAACTAATAATCAATTAAAGAACTATACACTCTGGATTTAGTGAATCAAAAATGACAATCTTATCTTTAATAAAATAGCCAAGTTGACAGAACTTGGAAAATGGTCTCTCAAATGACATAACGACTAAAATTATTGTTTTGTATAAAGAATTAACCTTTATTATTGATTCCCCATTAACATTTTTAGATTAAAATATTACTTCGGCAATAAACTGTATGTACAGTCCACAAGGCTCCTAGTAAGAAGTGATAAAACGGCTGACACACGAGCATAAATTCAGTCTTGTAAAACTAAATGAGTGAATGAATAATGACATGTGAAGCGTCTTTGAGTGTCCAAAAAAGCGTTATATACAACCAATGCATTATTATTATTCATTATTAATAAATGAAAATGGTCGTCCTCCTGTCCCAGCTCTTACCCCAATCCCCTTGAGCGCTGGAGCTTTCCCCTGCCTGAGACAAGTGCTCCCAGGGCTCGACGCAGGCATGCAAAGGCATTTACGGTTTACAAAACAATAAAAACATATTTGATGTGATTGGTGACAATTCGATTTGATACAATTTGATTATTCTTTCTTCTGTATTTGTTCATGCTGCACGAATAAATAGATAACAGTGTATGTAACATGTCATTCATCTGTCAATAAGTACTGTGATCATGTGCAATACTGAATGTCACTTTATTTACTTATCCGGCCTTATATGTAGAAAACCTTGCGCCATATAGATATTTTCCATAAGAATGATATTGAAGCAGTTACAGCATAGCAGCTACTTATATTGTATATTTCGTGTGCTCCCCGTGTTCTCTAACTACTGTCCTGCATGTGCACTGCAACATTGAAATTTTCCCACTGTGGGACAAATAAAAGATCTCTTATCTCATATTATCTTTTTCAGGTTGAGAAAATATACCCTGTCAAAGTTTAGTGCATGTTCAAAACTAGAAATGAGATCATTTTCATTCATTTATTTTGTCCATTTCTGGGGGTCAGTCATAACACATTAACACAACTCAAATTGATATCGCATGGATTTGCAAGTGTAATTGCATTGATTTGCTAAGTTATTCCACTGAGCAGCGGTGCTTGAGCTACAATAATTGGCTTTTCTACCTGTTTATCTGTGCCCATGGAAATAAATAAAAAACACACTGTCCCTTTAATCAAAAAGGTTCACAAACCTCAGGACCAACACTTTCAAGTTTATTGGTAGAGGATGTTGAAAAGTCTGCTGCCCTTCATGGAAACTATTTATTTCCTGAAATACAAATGGATGTCGCCATCTAGTGACAGTGACAAGGACTGCACCAACTAAGCATTTTGTTCTTTTATTTGCATTTCATCAACTCACAAATCTTATTTATTATTCACTAGTTTTAAAATAGAGCAGTAGTCTTTCAAAGACAACATTTGGACAAAGTGCACAAAGACACAATCAATAGCTACAAATAGAACATTTCCATGCATGTAAAATGCTTTTCTTTATCATAACGGTTGCCATTTTTCCATATAAAAAGGTTAAAAAGTCCAATTCAATTAAATGTTCTCACAAAGCATTTTCTGTGTATTTCTGAAGAGTTTAAAATAACAAAAAATATCACCAAAATCAGCCCACATCTGACATGCCAGGGTAAACAAGAAACAAAAATACATCATCTTAAATAACAATTTAGCAATAAATATTCAGTCTGTGCAAAATACCAGTAATGAATGTGCCAACACTGTCTATCAAAGTTCTTGAAAAAAAAACTATAACTCGAGTCACATGGAGGAAGGGCTTCAAAAGTACGTTTCATCCACTGGCTTTAAAGGACCATGTTATAGAATATGAATGACTTTCCTATTAAATATAATCATCGTTTTGTACCTTCTTAGCTACTGTCACTTCTGCATAACTGGCGGCCCACGGCGTAACGGCATCTGGTGAATGTAGAGAGGTAAATGAGCACTATGTTTGAGCCAGTTGCAGCTCCTCCAGCCCGTGTTTTCCCATGTGATAACGGGCCAAGTCTTTCCTCGTCACCAGGCCGACCACCTAAACCGAGAGGAAAACATCGTTACAAAAGAGTATGTGTTGGTATTGGGAAAATATGGAGCAAAATAAATGCTACATATGTACCCGGTTCTCATTATCCACAACCACCAAGTGCCTGAGTCCCAGAGCTCTGAACAGCTTGAAGACACGAGGCAAAGATGTATCCTGGGGAAACACAAGAATCATTACGGTTTGTAAGTAAAGTTTATTAATATAGTGCCTTTCACAGACCAGGATCACAAAACGATATTGTACTTAATAGTCAAACTAACTGCCAGCCAAACTAACTGTTTGAACTGTTAGTCCAAATATTTTTATTGAGCATCTTATATAGCACAAAAATTACGCCACGCGTGGCTGGCCCAAAACCCCTGGGGGCCAAGAGACCCACCCTGGGGTAGGGCCTGTACTGTACGGCCCGAGACTGGTCTTGGTCCAGCGGAGTCCCTGACGTCAAGGACACAGTGAGGCTGGCGCTGCTCCCTGCGTCCTCCGTGTGGCCAGACGACAGACCACTCCTCCCCTCCGAGCGGTATAGGAGGTCTATGTCCGTACTGGATAGATGCTATGCCAACGCGGCTCAGATGTCAATTTGTCATAGTAACAGGGCCTTCCTCACTGGGGCTCTGGAAAGATCTTTCTCCGCAGGCCAGGCGCTCAGCGGCGAGGATCTGACGGGGGCTGATCGAAAGGCTTGACAGCGCGGCCAAGGACTATGCCAAGCTGCGTCCCATTGGGTCCCGCGGCATGAGTCCCGCCAGCAGTCGAGGGGCTTCGACCGGGACAGAGAGCGGTCTCCCTGGCGGAGCTCCGCTCCTGCGCAGGCTGCTCCGGAGCAGACCTTCGGAGGTGCTCGGGAGCAACGCTTTCAACACCGTTGAGGAGGACAGGGGGGCAGGGGTCATTTCAATAAAAAGAGAGTAAACCCTATATGATGTGAGAGTCTCCGCTGGTACTGCATGGCATGCCCTCACAGGTAGATGGTATTGTCTCGCGCAGAGTGCAGTCCCACGCTGATGGCCCTGGGGACCTGCGGGCTCAGGGGAGAGACCCGCAGCGGTTGATCCAGACCTCTGGCCCCACACTTCATCCTCTCGTCCCGGAGGAAAAGTCAGGGAGAGGCTGATTTAAGTGTGACAGTGGGGCTGGTAACCCCATCTGTCTCACGCAGCTACTTCTCAGCGCTTGGCACACTGGGTTGCCCGGGCAATTCGTATGGCATACCAGGCACAGGGACTGGCCTCCCCGGTGGGATTTAGGGCGCACTCCACTCGGGGGGTTGCGGCCTCCACGGCTCTGCTCCGGGGGGTCTTGGTGGAGGACGTCTGTCAGGCTGCGTTCTGGGCTACGTCTTCTTCCTTTGCCCAGTCATACCTGTTGGACGTATCAGTACGATCGGTTGCACACTCCTTTCTGAACGCTGGGAATTGAGGTTGACCGTGAGGTGCTCTTGGTAGAGCTCTGGTGTTATGTGTGGCCGCCCCATTCAGGAGCTCTTGATAGAGGCGTCCTGGGGTTCTGGCCTGCCCTTGGTTCCCCGAGGGCGGCGTTTTGCTGTCCCCTTCAGGAGCTCTTGGTAGAGGCGTCCTGGGGCTGCGGCCTGCCCTTGGTCCCCGGGGGCGGGATGTTTGCCGTTCCTTCAGGAGCTCTTGGTAGAGGCGTCCTGGGAATACGACCTGTCCTTGCCCACAGGGGAATTCTTTACAGTGTTCTAGGGCGTCCTTGATAGGAGTGGCCCTGTAACACTGCTCATGCTTCCTTTTTCCTACCCTGAGCCTGCTCACCTTGTTGGTGTTGGGGGAATCTCGGGCAGGACTCCAATCACTCTACGCTGGCCTGATGGGAGTACATCTTCCTACGGCTACGTGTGGTTACCCAAAGCGTAGTCTAAGGGGCGTAGCACCATGACGTAGAATTATTAGTAACGTAATGTAACTGTAGTTCTACGAATAGGTGCGTAGCCCCTTAGGTACGGGCCCATCAGGCCAGCCTGGCTTTGGCTGAGTTCAAAGTGGCAGGTGCAGGCCTGAGCGGGGCTATTTATAGGAGGAGCGGGCTCATGATTGGAGCATTCAATCTAAAGATCTCTCTGGCGGAGGCTAGGTGCCTCAGGAGTCTACCCATTGCGTAGCCTAAGGGGCTGAGCACCTATTCGTAGAACTAGTTACATTAGGTAACTAGTAATATCACTCAGAATGCTGCGGACACATGCATTTGTGAGATGGCATCAGAGCAAGTCTCTCTGAATTCAAGTTTTAACAGAATACGTGCGTGACCGTGGGCACTTGCTGTCGTTTGCTGTATGAACTGAAGTCCGCCTCCTCCATGGCCGCTAACAACAACATGACGAATGGTGCCAGGGTAACGTGGTCATATCCAAGACCATACACGCACAGAACAATTCTCTGCATGTTGTGTGTGTGTCTTTGCGTAACATGCGTGTAACCTGTGCACGCAAATAAACTGCTGAAGCTGAACTATGGAGCCTCAGGAAGTGTCCTTGTCTTCTGAAACGCAACTAAACTCGCTAAATTAAAGCTGAGGTACGTACGTTTTCCCTTTCATTAACAGCTCATGTTGGTGGTGCCCAAAAGTAAAAGGTTGTGAGCAAATCAAACAGATTGAAGTACATTTGGTATGAATGACAATGTGTCATTACATCTGATAATCTCATTTAACTTCAATTGTAGTGGATTTGAAATAGTTTACTATTTTACTATGCAATTAATCCAAAAAAATTGTTTTATCGTTTGACAGCCCCAATAATAATCAAAATAGTTGGAGCTCAAACATCTTTATATAAATAAAACATAGCAACATACAAAACAAACATTAGAGCCCAACAAAGCAGGGTGTGTAAGCTTAATTATACAGATTGTAGGAATTCTAGTCAAAGTCAAATTTCTGAACAAAACAACAAACATAGAAACAACAAAACAAGATAGAAACAGTTGCCAAATGTTCCGTAATGATGAAATATATTCTATTAATAAATATCTAATTCTTTCTAGGTGTAGTGAGTTTGAAAGGTCCCACAGCCACCTTTTAGAGTTCTGCCAAAGCCTCTCTTCCACCATTTTTCTACTGAATGACAATCGTATCAGCCAGGATTAGTGTAAAAAAATGTCAAAAAGCAAACAGCTCTTCCAGGTATTAAAATGGTAGATACTTTATTTATTCTGCTTAAATGAACTGTGTAATTATTTATCATTTCCTTTCTCATTCATCTCTACTTTGAATGTGCATCAAAATATTCCACCATGAGACACGTTAGTTTTACCCACTGATGGTGTGTTCTTGCATTTTTAATCCAAAGTCCAAAATGACATGCGCTGACATGCTTGGAATAAGAATTAGCCAATGCTAATGTATAGAATCTTCTTGACCGTCACCCCCTGCAGGACACTGTCTGCTCTGGAGAGCAGTTTCAGTGACAGACTTTACCCTCGCTGTGTGAAGGACAGGTTCAGCAGGTCTTTGCTTCCTGCTGCTGTCAAACTGAATCACAAACAATGAGGACTAATGAACATTGCCAACCTGATCTCATATGTCATGCGTCGGTGAAATATCCTTAACTAATATCAGAATATGCAATATAGAACCACATAATTATCCGTTTTATTTATGTACTTGTCTTGTGCACACTAGGGACTTTTGCAAATGTATTCCAATGTGGTTTTACTGCAAATGGCAAATGAATCTGATCTGATGTGTCACTGTGTCCCAGAGCCTCGTGCTGCTAATGGACAGATGTAAACATACTGCTGCTAACATGTACAGATGTAAACATACTACTGCTAACATGTACAGATGTAAACATACTGCTGCTAACATGTACAGATGCTAACATATAACTACATATTGCTTGCACTAGAATACACAGTACTTTGTACTTGCCTCTTATTTTGCCGAATGTAAAAATGTTATATTTCTTTATTATTACTATGGTCAAGATAGAGATTTTATGCTTGTTCTTTGATGCTAGAGTTAGAGATTTTGTTTTATTTTAATTAGTATAGCTATTGTTCACTTATTTTGTGCTGCTCATTCCTACTGCTCAATAACTTAGTTTGATCTAACTCTAGTTTAGTTGTAGTGGAATTTTCAAGCCCTGCGGCCAATTTGAAACTGCCCACAGACGGCGGAATTTGTGGCACATTAGTTTCAACGGCAGAAATAGGCGTGACTACGTCCGTTAATATTTACTGTCTATGCTGGGTTCTCCCAACTTAGTACTAAAAACTCCCAAATATTGCAGAATTGGTTTTCTAGAAAGTTTTTGTTGGTTTTGGTTCTACAGTAAATTGCAGGTGAGGGGTGGGTTGTTGTGAGTTACCTGTGGGACCGTGTATGGGGTGGGGTTCATAAACTCGGTGAGGTCCATCATACACTCCCTCTCGTCCTGCGACACGTGGATGCTCTGTATCGGGGGGAAGCGCGGGTAAGCATCTCGGAAGTCCTTCAGCTGGAGTTTCCTGTGCGTCAGGCGAGAGCGAGCCAGTTCCACAAACACCTTTTGTGAACAAGAGAAAGCACTTCGATTGAGTCATTTTTAATCTTTCTGCATTGTGCCTGCGTGACTGATCATACCTTGTGCTTTAGGAGAACAATGAGCTGGGAGCGAAGAATGAGGCCGCACAGTTTCCCTGGCTGTGAATTCACCGCAATCAATTGTTTTGGATTAGCAAAAAAAAAAAAACAGCTTTAAGAACAGGTTCATCCGGGGATATTTTTCTAAGTAGACTTAAACATTATGGAAGACAAATTCAGCTTGTTTAAAAGCAGGAGTTTCCCTTGTGACTCAACAAAACATTTCCAAGCCACTATATGTATCTGAAGTCGGACTTTTATAGAAGAGTCTACTTTATGAAGTACCTCATCGTTCCCCAGGGTGTGTGCCACCACTGGGAAGCCGTTGTGATTGGTGGAGGTGTTGCTCAGCGTGTCCACGATTGTGCCAACATTCTCTATGCGATTTAAACAGGTCACAGGAGAACTCATCACTTCTCTGGATAAAGAAGAGAAATTATTTGAACAGACTGAAAGAAGCACTGCACTAGTAGTAGAAAAGCTCGGTACCTGGCCGTGAGCCAGTGTGAGGTGGCAGGAGCCTCCCAGTGCAGGAAGGGAACACTCTGGAGCTTGATGTGGATGTCATAAAGACCCTGGGGGGGGAGTCCCATGCCATTACAAGATTATCTCTGTAAACTAGGGGCCAGTTTATTTGCATTTCCCTACTTCAATAAAGTAGTCTCCAACAATCTTCGCTGTCATTAGCACTAGCATGATGGGCAGGCCGTATGTGACATTTCCTGTCGCCTCCACCATGATGACAGTTAAACTCAAGGTCATTCTCACAATTCCACCTGTGTTTAGGACAACTCATTTAAGATGGCATGTATGATTAAATATACGCTGCAAAAAATAATTGTAAAATGAGGTTATAATTGCTTGAATCAAGTGCTTTCTTTAATCTTAATGTAAGTACATTTTGACTGTCTTTAACCCATTAAGGCCTGACACAGCTGGTAAAACTGACCTGTAAAGCCTATGGCTGACTTCAGAACCACCCTCTAAAAGCTGAAGTTTTCCTGAAATTCAACGTCTACTAAATGTAGATATCTAAAAATTGATATCTCAGCCTCTGTCTTAAGTAAGCAAAATAAACAAAACACGACTTTTTTTTTTAGATTTGTTCCCAATATTTTACTTTTGTGCACAAATAACATGCATTGTCAATGTAAGCGAAAATGTAGGTACCTGAGCTGTAATTCAGTGAGTTCTGGCTCACTGGGAGTCTCCTCACAAAGCGTTTCATCACGTAAAACTGGCAAAAGTGGCACCCCGTTTGTCTGTCGGGACCGTCCATCGAGGACATTGAGGATATATAAATTTTTTGATTTATGGTAGCAGGGTTCCTGGAGTTGGCTTGATCTACCGCAAAGTTGGAGGGCTGTCCACTCAGAAGATTTACGAGCGGCTGTCCAAGGAAAACAAGGAGAGTTTCCGCGAGTTGGCCAGAGTCGTGGTCGAGGGCACAGTGGGGACACAACGGGGTGTGAGTCGGATCGAACATTCCCTTTCAGATCTGGGAGTGAGATCTTTGGATGGACTTAAACGCGTGGAAGGATTGATTGAAGGACTTGGGCCTCACGGTTGAACCTCGTACTGACGTGGTCAACTCCGGATAACGGTGAACGGAGGGTCCAGTTCCAGTATAATTTGGACATATTGGCTTTAGTTTACACTGCCTTTCATTGATCAGCTAAAGTGCTTATACAAATTTCCCACAAGGCATGTGTTGTTTTGTCTCCAATGTTTGCAGGCACCTGCGCTATCTTTGTCCTTCACATTCCACCACCCATACTGCTACATGGGCTACTCAAGGCCGACACTGGACTCTATCTAACTCAGACTCACAACCCATAACACCAGTTACAGTCCCCCCCCCTTCTACATGTCTGCCTCCCTCTCTTTTCAGTCTATGGTGGTCTTCCCCTCCACCTCCCCCACCCACACTCCCCTCTGACGCGCTATATTGGACGAGGCGGGCCAGAGTGATGACTTCCCTTCAAAAAGATCTGCATGTTTTCCACATGTACTGTCTCTCTCCCCATGTTTGTTTGATATATGTATGTTACTGCTCTCTGCTGTTTATTCTACTGTTTGTCGCATGGCGCCGTAAAGATGGCGCCGTAAAGATGGCGCCGTGGCAAGAGCTCTGGTGTGTGTCGTCTGGTGCACACTGGGGTAGTCTTGCACAGTTTTTCCAATGTGGTTTTACTGCAAATGGCAAATAAATGAATCTGAATCTGAGACGTGGGAGAGACATGGGGGAGAGACGCGGGAGACAGGCAAGACCCGCACGTGCAACAAGCTGGGGATGGTCTTGATCGCGCGTGAATGATTCTGTCCGCGCGTCTATGGTCCGCGCTCGGTACATGACCACGTTATGGCTGCGCGTTCGCTAAGCTGTCAAAGCGGCCACAGTTGCTCCCGGGGTCAGAACGGAGGATGTTAATCCCGTTCGAGTACGTAACGCAAACAACTGCCCGCGGTCACACATTTCATATAAACAATATTTTCAGCTACAAAAAGTTGAAATTTGCGGATCCGTAGATAATTCTCATCACTGGTATATCTTGATGCATTTCATTGGTCAATGAAGAGAAAAGGTCAACAAATTTTAAAAAAATGTGTCCGCTGTCCCGGCCTTAAAAGGTAGAAGCACGCAACAACGTTCCCAGCTTGAAAGGTATAAACGCGGGAATGCGTTCCCGGCCTCAATGGGAACAAGATTTTCCTGTGGGACAAGCCATATTTTGTGATTGACCTATTGGCAAATCTTGTTTTAAGCCACTCCTGAAACTGATGTGTCTGTTCCCTGACTTCTTCCTTCTTTTGCTTTCTCATAGTACACTTTCTGTACTTTTATTCCAAGTCATGCCGCTTTTCATCTTCAAGCTTTCTTTCCTCTTCTAGTTTGCACTCAAGCACTGATGCAACAGTGTCCTCAAGAGCTCTTACAGACCGCTCTGGGTGCAGTCAAAATGTGCTCAAATTAAGAAAACTCTTTGACTTATCGTACATCACTTTTTGCAGTGTATGTATTGACAAACTCACCTAGCTGAGCTGCAGCTCCAATCAGAGCGTATTTACCAGGGTCAGCCCACAACTACCATAACAGAGATACAGTAAATCAATAATCACCATTTATCATCAACAGTCGACAAATCATATCAAAAGTAGGATGTTATGTAGCATTTAAACTAACCGAGCTATTGGAGGAGAATGATGCCAGCAGGATTCCACACAGCCTCCCCCAAGCAGCCCCTATGAGCAGCGAGGGGATAAAGACCCCAGCGGACACAGCTAGGCCGTAGGTCCAACAGGCCAAGAAGAAGTAAGTCAGAGTGAACAGGCCAAGGGTCAGAGGGTTGTATGAGCCTGGGTCACAGACAGAACAGGTTACACAAGGCAATGAACATACCACACTTACTTCACAACCTCCCCTCTGATTACATCAATCTATTGTGCAATTACATTTTCTGTTAGACAATGTAAGCGTCCAGTCATCTTGTAGCATACTGGCATTGCAGGATTTAAGAATTTCCCATTTTGGGGCATCTCTCTTGTAAAAATTGTTGTTATAATATTATAATAATCCTACAGCCACCAATCGTCTTGGAAATATAAGATAAAAGGTAAATGTTATTGTCCCAAGGGAAATATGCAGTGGGATACAGGGATACAGGAAAAACATAAAAAGAAAAGTGCAGAAATGCTTTGAAGTCCAATTCCGGATCAAACTAAGTAATTGGTCCTGGATAAAAAATGTAAATAAATCATACAGTTTAAAAGAGGCCACTGAAAATTAAAGAAAGCTTTGTCCAAGTATCTCGGTAGAGTAGAGGAGATTGACCTGGTTGATTGTGGAACAGACTGCGCACACTTCTCTCAGGAGTGTTGAAGAAAGCTGTGGCCATGGCGTTGTACTCGCCATCGGAACAGAATAACTGGAAAAGAGACAGCATTGGATTTGTGACTTTTCTATAGGGCTCAGACATATTTAGATTGAGAGATCCTTTATTCGTCCCACAGTCGGAAAATTTCAGACTTGCATCACCGGTTACAGAACAGTAGACATGAGGAGCACACAACACAAGATAAATGAACAATGACGCTATACAAAAATAGAATAACAACTCTAAACTAAAGTTATTTAGCATAATAAAGAAGCAAGTACAAAATATCTACATAGCGAAAAATTATAAAATATGAGGTAATAATTCCTTGAATTTGTGACAAGCCATTTAGTCTTATTTCAAGAACTGTTGCTCTATTTTCTCATTCCCAGGGAGACATTTCTTGTATAATTTTAATAGAAGATAAATTTGCTTGCATTGGCAAATCTTTTAAGGCAGTCAAAATGTATTCAAATTCAGATGCATTTTGCCAAATGTTAGCAATTTTTGCCTTTTTCATTTTTTATCACTATGTTCCCCATAATCTCCCCCATAATGACTGCACCTGTAGGGGGTACTCTTCGTTGTTCTCAGGAGCCAGTGGCTGACAGTCATTAGAGAAGTAAATCATTGTGAATGAAACTGTGGCTGTGACTGCAGCCACCAACATCGCCTCCATCACTTGTAAACAGGGTCGATGAACATACCTGCAATCACAACAAGCAGGCCACTGAGCAATCACATGGAAAACAAAACCATCAAGATTAAGGAATTTCCCTCGCACTAATAATCTGTGTCATGTACATGTCTAGTGCCGGAATTAAGTTGCAATTCCTGTTTTGCCAATAAAAGAAGGCTGAAAGATCAAGACTTCTCCAACAGGTAGAACGTACAGTGGGGCAAAAAGGTATTTAGTCAGCAACCGATTGTGCAAGTTCTCCCACTTAAAATAATGACAGAGGTCTGCAATTTTCATCATAGATACACTGATACTGTAAGAGACAGAATGTGAAAAAAATCCAGGAATTCACATTGTTTTCACATTTTTCTCGTTATCTGTATAAAAGACACCTGTCCACAGCCTCAAACAGTCAGACTCCAAACTCCACTATGGCCAAGACCAAAGAGCTGTCGAAGGACACCAGGAAAAGAATTGTAGACCTGCACCAGACTGGGAAGAGTAAATCTACAATAGGCAAGCAGCTTGGTGTGAACAAATCAACTGTGGGAGCAATTAATAATCAGAAAATGGAAGACATACAAGACCACTGATAATCTCCCTTGATCTGGGGCTCCATGCAAGATCTCATCCCGTGGGGTCAAAATTATCATGAGAACGGTGATCAAAAATCCCAGAACCACACGGGGGGACCTGGTGAATGACCTGCAGAGAGCTGGGACCAAAGTAACAAACGTTACCATCAGTAACACACTACGCCGACAGGGAATCAAATCCTGCAGTGCCAGACGTGTCCCCCTGCTGAAGCCAGTGCATGTCCAGGCCCGTCTCAAGTTTGCCAGAGAGCACATTGATTATACAGCAGAGGATTGGGAGAGTGTCATGTGGTCAGATGAAACCAAAGTAGAACTGTTTGGTATAAACTCAACTCATCGTGTTTGGAGGAAGAAGAATACCGAGTTGCATCCCATACACCATACAGTGCCTTGCGAAAGTATTCGGCCCCCTTGAACCTTTCAACATTTCGCCACATTTCAGGCTTCAAACAAAGATATAAAATTTTTATGTTTTGTCATGAATCAACAACAAGTGGGACACAATCGTGAAGTGGAACGACATTTATTGGATAATTTAAACTTTTTTAACAAAAAACTGAAAAGTGGGGCGTGCAATATTATTTGGCCCCTTTACTTTTAGTGCAGCAAACTCACTCCAGAAGTTCAGTGAGGATCTTTGAATGATCCAATGTTGTCCTTAATGACTGATGATGATAAATAGAATGCACCTGTGTAATCAAGTCTCCGTATAAATTCACCTGCTCTTTGATAGTCTCAGGGTTCTGTTTAAAGCGCAGAGAGAACCATGAAGACAAAGGAACACACCGGGCAGGTCTGAGATACTGTTGTGGAGAAGTTTAAAGCCGGATTTGGATACAAAAAGATTTCCCAAGCTTTAAACATCTCAAGGAGCACTGTGCAAGCAATTACATTGAAATGGAAGGAGTATCAGACCACTGCAAATCTACCAGGACCCGGCCGTCCCTCCAAACTTTCATCTCAAACAAGGAGAAGACTGATCAGAGATGCAGCCAAGAGGCCGATGATCACTCTGGATGAACTGCAGATAACTACAGCTGAGGTGGGAGAGTCTGTCCATAGGACAACAATCAGTCGTGCACTGCACAAATCTGGCCTTTATGGAAGAGTGGAAAGAAGAAAGCCATTTCTCAAAGATATCCATAACAAATCTTGTTTAAAGTTTGCCACAAGTCACCTGTGAGACACACCAAACATGTGGAAGAAGGTGCTCTGGTCAGATGAAACCAAAATCGAACTTTTTGGCCACAATGCAAAATGATATGTTTGGCGTAAAAGCAACACAGCTCATCACCCTGAACACACCATCCCCACTGTCAAACATGGTGGTGGCAGCATCATGGTTTGGGCCTGCTTTTCTTCAGCAGGGACAGGGAAGATGGCTAAAATTGATGGGAAGATGGATGGAGCCAAATACAGGACCATTCTGGAAGAAACCCTGTTGGAGTCTGCAAAAGACCTGAGACTGGGACAGAGATTTATCTTCCAACAGGACAATGATCCAAAACATAAAGCCAAATCTACAATGGAATGGTTCACAAATAGACGTATCCAGGTGTTAGAATGGCCAAGTCAAAGTCCAGACCTGAATCCAATCGAGAATCTGTGGAAAGAGCTGAAGACTGCTGTTCACAAACGCTCTCCATCCAACCTCACTGAGCTCGAGCTGTTTTGCAAGGAGGAATGGGCAAGAATTCCAGTCTCTCGATGTGCAAAACTGATAGGGACATACCCCAAGCGGCTTGCAGCTGTAATTGCAGCAAAAGGTGCTACAAAGTATTAGCGCAAGGGGGCCGAATAATATTGCACGCCCCACTTTTCAGTTTTTTATTTGTTAAAAAAGTTTAAATTATTCAATAAATTTTGTTCCACTTCACGATTGTGTCCCACTTGTTGTGGATTCTTGACAAAACATTTTTTATATCTTTATTTTTTAAGCCTGAAATGTGGCGAAATGTTGAAAGGTTCAAGGGGGCCGAATACTTTCGCAAGGCACTGTACCTACTGTGAAGCATGGGAGTGGAAACGTCATGCTTTGGGGCTGTTTTTCTGCTAAGGGGACAGGACGACTGATCCGTGTTAAGGAAAGAATGAATGGGGCCATGTATCGTGAGATTTTGAGCCAAAACCTCCTTCCATCAGTGAGAGCTTTGAAGATGAAACGTGGCTGGGTCTTCCAGCATGACAATGATCCCAAACACACCGTCCGGGCAACGAAGGAGTGGCTCCGTAAGAAGCATTTGAAAGTCCTGGAGTGGCCTAGTCAGTCTCCAGACCTCAACCCCATTGAAAATCTGTGGAGGGAGTTGAACGTCTGTGTTGCTCGGCGACAGCCCGGAAACATCACTGCTCTTGAGAAGATCTGCATGGAGGAATGGGCCAAAATACCAGCTACTGTGTGTGCAAACCTGGTAAAGACCTATAGTAATTGTTTGACCTCTGTTATTGCCAACAAAGGTTATATTACAAAGTATTGAGTATAATTTTTGTTATTGACCAAATAATTTATTTGTAAATGATGGTGGAAAATAAGTATTTAAAAAAACTACAATGTGAATTCCTGGATTTTTTTTTTCACATTCTGTCTCTCACAGTTGAAGTGTACCTATAATGAAAATTATTATTTTCATCATTAGTGGGAGTGGGAGAACTTGCACAATTGGTGGCTGATGATATACTTTTTTTGCCCCTGTATATGCTTCAGAAAGTTTCTCCAGTAATTCTACAATTTGATTATATTAGTCATCCAGTTAATTAATGTAGTCATTACTAAAAACAGAATGTTTGTCTTTACAACAGGAGAATGTTAACTCCATGAAAAGGTACACAATAAACTAGAACACAAATATTACCATCTTAAAACTACCAATCATTTTAGTAGTCAACTAGTAGACCAGCAAGAGAATTGAGGCTGGGGGCGAAAATTCGCCTTCCAGTAGGACAATGACCCTAAACAAAAAGCTAAATTTACAATGGAATGGTTTAAAACAAAACACATTTGTTGTATTAAAATGGCCCAGTCAAAGTCCAGACATAAATCCAATAGAAAATCCATGGACAGACCTGAAAACTGCTGTTCACTAATGCTCATCACCTAATTTGACAAATCTTGAGTTTTTTTTTACAAAGATTTCATGTATATTTTTAATAGAAGATACATTTGCTGGCATTGGCAAATCTTTTAAGGCAGTCAAAATGTATTCAAATTCCGATGCATTTTGCCAAATGTTTCATTTTTTGTCTGTAGATGTGCAAATCTTGTAGAGTCATACCCCAAAAGACTTGCTATTGTTACTGCAGCAAAAGGGTGTTCCAAGTATTAACTCATGCTGCACGAGTATGTGCAGACCCAACTTTTCAGTTTTCTATTTTTGCAAAAAAAAAAACAATCAATGATCATCTTTCAATTCATAGATGTTTTTACTTTCAGTAAACTTTATGTTTATGGTTGTAAACATGACACTGTAGCTAGTGTAATAATGAGGTCTGACATATGGATAGCAAAAGTGTTGGCTCTGGCAGCAACTCGACCTGTTCTCAGTTCTCTCTGAGAATGTACCTCTGAAAACTTCCTTCTTGAAAACCTCACCCAGTCTGTGACAGCCATCAACAAATCACTAAGCCTGTTTTCGACTGACACAGCAAATCTAAGTTATTTAGTAAATAATGTCTTCACCTGATCCTAAAGATAGTCAACCAGTAGTTCAGAACATTGAACAAAGCTCCAAGCAATCCTCCTGGGAAAATATACATTTAAAAGATAAGTTTAAAGTTTTATGTTAAATTGGAGACGATCACTTTTCCAAAAACGTTTGGCTTACCTAAAGCGCCCATTGCGATGAATAAGGGGATCTCGTAGAAGTAGTATTCCACACTCTGAAAAGAAACAGGGGTTGGAAATAGTTTGAAAACAGTCCCATGTTTGGTACAGCCAAAACTAGGGGTGGGAACCTAAGGGTACCTCACGATACGACACGATACACAACTCACGATAACGATATTATCACGATAACGATTTTATCACAATATGACGATTATCGATATATTGGTCAGAAATATACAATATGCCAATTTATGGCATAAATAAAAAGAAAAAATACACTTTATTTCATGATAAATGGAATGGAGATCCGTAATGTAGCCATATATCAAGTATTGATATCAATTAAAAAAAATAATTTGTAAAAAAAAAAAAAAAAAAAAAGAATAATTCGCAATATATCGATATATTGTCACACCCCTAGCCAAAACAACATATTCATATTTCAAAACTTTTTAGGTAAAACATGTCAGAATACTCATTGATGTACAGTGGTCCCTCAGTGTAGGGGTCACTTTCTAAACCTACAACAAGTGAAATCTTCAAGGTAGGAGCTGTAAAACACCTTACCACACACTTTATACACTTTTCTAACACCTCCACCCGCAACCACTTGTGCTTAAACACCAGTAAGACCAAGGAGATGGTTCGGTCAACTCCTGTCCCGCACAGAGAAGGACAGGAGTAGACTCCAAAAGCTGGTCAGGAGGGCCAACTCCGCTCTGGGCTGCTCCCTGGACTCTGAGACAGGACAGGAGGGAGCTAGCCAAAGTCAAACCCATCATGGACAACACCCCCCCACCCACTGCAGAGGACTGTAGAGGAGCTGAGGAGCTACTTCACGGGAAGACCCTCAATGCAAGAAGGAGCACTACCGCATCGCCTTTATCCCCACCGCTCTAAGACAATAAGATAAGATAAGATAACATAAGATAAACCTTTATTAGTCTCACAGTGGAGACATTTCAGTGTCATCGTTGCGCACATTACAGCAGAGAAAGGAAATAAGAGCACTCAGATTGCACACATCAAATAGTCTATTATTTAAGGTAATAGACAATAAAATTAAGATAAGAATAAAATAAAATGACAAACTCTGGGCTATAATTGCACTTGGTTCGGAAGTAATTACAGATGTCTATATTATACATTAGCAGTGGAGAATATGAGAATATGAATGAATGAGCAGAATAAACATCAGAAATAATATCAACAGGTAAAGTGACTTGAATGGGAGAATTATCAGATGGATATGTAATAATACAGTAAAATATCAACAGGTAAAGTGACTGGTGAAAGGCAGAAATATCAGATATGTAATAATGCAGTAGTACTGATAACAGGTAAAGTGACAAAGTTACTAGTGTATTAACAGTGACTTATTAGCAGTTCCTGTTACACATTCTCGTTGTACAGTCTGACAGCAGCAGGAAGGAAAGACCTACGGAACCTCTCCTTCACACAGCAAGGGTGAATTAGTCTGTCACTGAAACTGCTCTCCAGGGAAGAGAGAGTGTCCTGCAGGGGGTGACAGTCATGGTCCAGCATGCAATAATGACCTGCACTAGGACTGAAGAACCAGCACTGCTATTGCCACTTTTTTATTGTACATAATTATATCCTGCACAGGCTATATTTTTAACCTTAACATGTAGCACACTACTGTCTTTTCTCAATTTGAGTGATTCTATCAATGCCAAATGTGACATGTAAATTTCTCCATTGTGAGATCAATAAAGTTTATCTTATATGATGTTGTTGGAGTATACACACGACAAGCACGCTGTAAGGGCACGGTCACATAGGTTTTTACAAACGAACTAGGCCAAGTGGCCCGGATCGTTGCCACAGGAGTGTGAAAACGGCCCGCGCAACGTGCCAGAGCAACTGTGCTGTAGTACAACGCTCGGTTCAGCTGGTGGCGCTAATACTAACTTCAGCGGCGACCTCGTCCGAGTTAGGTTTCCGTTTCTCTTCCTGTTTACACTCTGCTACTGTAGTAAACAGCTCGAGTACTCTATGTGTGTGTGTGTGTGTGTGTGTGTGTGTGTGTGTGTGTCTAGAGCGTGCCTGTGTGGCTTACGAGCAGAGCGACCGGAGCCAGGCAGGATACAAGTGTGTGTTGGTGATAAACCCATTGAGGCCCACGTTTGTACCTTTCAAGCCGGGAGCGCTGTTAAGCACTTCTACCTTTAAGGCCGGGAAAGAGGACACATCTTTTTTTGACCTATTCTCCTCATTGATCAATTGTCTTGACCAATGGAATGCATCCTGTGACGAGAATTATCTGTGGATCCGTGAATTCTGACTTTTTTACGGGATTAACATCCTCCGTTCTCACCCCGGGAGCAACTGTGGCCGCTTTGACACAGCTCAGCGAACGCGCAGCCATAACGTGGTCATGTACCATAGAAGCGCAGACAGAATTATACACGCGCCATCAGGACTATCCCCAGCTTGTTGCACGTGCAGGTCTTGCCTTTCTCCCCTGGTGTGAGCGCAACCACTTGTGCTTGAACACTAGTAAGACCAAGGAGATGGTCATCGACTTCAGGAGAAAACCACTTTCCCACACGCTTCTGAACATCCAGGAGGAGGACATTGAGCTGGTGGACAGCTTCAAGTACCTGGGTGTTCACATTAACAATAAACTGGACTGGTCCCATAACACCAACGCCCTGTACAAGACGGGCCTAGGACGCCTCTTCCTTAAGAGGAGGCTGAGGTCCTTCGGAGTGAGCAGGCCCTCTGCTCAGGACTTTTAATGGACTCTGTGGTAGCCTCTGCCATACACTACGCTGCCGTGTGCTGGGCCCCAGGCAGCACAGAGCAGGACAGGAGTAGACTGAACAAGCTGGTTAGGAGGGCCAGCTTGTTCTGCCAAAGGGCTGCCCCCTTTGAAGATAGTCAAAGTCACCTCCATCATGGACAACACTTCCCACCCACTGCAAAGGACTATAGAGGAGCTGAGGAGCTCTCTCAGTCGAAGACTGATGCTGCTTTCACACAGGATAATGGGTTGCGTCAACTTTCAATGCAAAGTCAATAGTGACGCGCGTTCGAGCATCGACCTGCATGTGCGTCTCAGGGCGCACGCACGGACTGCGCGGTAGAGACGCACAGACTGTGCGGCAAAGAAGCGGCAGAGGCGTAGGAGCGGAAAATCGACACACGCAGGAGATACATTTTGCTGAGCGTTTCCTCGGGATGCTTGTGCAGCGACCAATCAGAGAGCCTAAAGTGGTCACAGGGACATTAGTGGTCTGAGCGAGCAGACTGAACATACTCGGAAGCAGCAAAGAAAAGGAGCTACACCAGGACTAAAATCAGGGTTGACAATGGGGGACAGTGCTTGTGAACACATGCGTTTTTATGCTCCCGTGACTTTATGCAACTGCTTCGAGCGTGTTTGCCGATGCAGAAGTACCGTTTAATAATAAAATAAACGTATGACGCACCTCTATGAACACATACTACTGTTATATAAGTCTATGGAAGGTCTCTGGACACAGAGACGCTGCAGAGCGGCATTATTGGAGAAGAACTTTACACAAAAAGCCACTAGCTTAACTCCGCTAGCATCAAAGTACGCTCGCTACTTCCGCCACTTCCGGCGCGTGGCACCACAGCCCAGGACTTCTGGTGTGAAGATCCCTGCGTCTGAAAATTAGAGAATGTGCGTCTGGTGCGCGAGGCGTCAGCGTTCCAGCGTCGGCGGTGTGAAAGCACCTTGAGACACCCTCAGTGCCTAAATAACTTAACCTGCACTACTTATTGACACTGTTTCTTGATTGCCACTTTTGAATTGCCCCTTTTTATTGTACATAATATATCCTGCATTTAACATGTTTGCACATTTCTTTCTTTTGCACAATCTTGAGTAATTCTATCCATGCCAGATGTGACATGTAAATTTCTCTTGTGTGAGATCAATAAAGTCTATCTTATTTTATCTTATTAAAGCTCAGATACCTAAATTTTCATTTGCATTTTCAATGCATGTTATTTGTGCACAAAAGTAAAATGTTGTGAACAAATCAAACAAAACAAACCACAACAGTTGTGTTTTGTTTAATTTGCTTACTTAAGAAAGAGCCCAGTGAGTCATTATTTGACTTTTTGGGCAGAGAGTAAATATTTTTTTTCCACATAGTTAGTGCCACTTTATTGTCAAACTCTTTTTGACTTATTGTATTGAGAAACATGTGTCAGTTTAACATTAGTTTTGGTTTTTGTATTACCTTTCCTGTGTGGAAGTTGTATTTTTTTGTTGAAGGTTTATACTGCATTCTTATTGAAAGCCACAAGTGTCACCTCTTAAAATTCTTTTGAAATTATGTTTCTATCTGCACAAAATATCAATCATTTAGTAGACGTTAATTTTCAGGAAAACTTCAGGTTTTGGAAGGTGGTTCTAAAGTCGGCCATAGGTTTTACAGGTCTGTTTTACCAGGTGTGTCAGGCCTTAATGGGTTAAATAAAGACTGATTCTTGAATGTCTAAAGTATTATTGCAATAGCACCGGACTGTGAGGGGCAGGGGGACAGAAGGGAGATATTCCCGTAGGAAACGCTTCGCTTTGGCCCTGGAGTGACACACCCCCCTGCGCCCCTCAACCACGGTCCAGGGGCTTATATGATAGGTTTAACACAAGCGGAGAATACAAAAGTGCAGGGAGAGACGTGTGTGAAAACGTAATGTGACGCACAATATCAAGTCCCCACCACACCTCATCCCCCACCCCCTGCCACAGTGACCCCCCTCAGCTGAGCTTTACAAAGCATGCTCTGGCCCACCTCTCTCAACCGTGCCCAAGCCCACTTGCAGAAACCGTGCCCAAGCCCACTTGCCGCAGTCACATAGCACCTAAAGCCCGGATCAAATCGCAAAGTGGGTTCAGGCCCAGTTCAACTGGGCTTTAGGGTGTGCATGTGACCACTAGTGAACTAGTGATGAGCATACCTCACTTTCAAAGCGACCGAAGTTGATCAGACCAGGATTGGAGAGATCTCCGGTTTTCTTATTATAAACACTCAGGAAGAAATTCAGAGTAAATGTTGAAACCATTGATGCAAAGAACTAGAAGAGAAATATGTTATCAAACAAAAACATAAGAAAACCCAATGACAGCAAATCAAATCCACATGTAAAGATGGACTTCACTCACTATCCTCCATGTTAACATCTGGTTCCAGAATGATGCTCCTTCCTCCAGAGAAAAAAGCACTCCACCTGTTGATCAAAACATCAATAGATTATTTTTTTTAAAGCAAAACTCACTGGATTGCAGCTGCTTAATTCAATGTGTCAATTTGAGGCACTTTGGGTTGTATTCTGTATGAACTGTGGATGGATTGATTGTCAGTGTCAATGTCAAATATATTTTGATGACACATTTACAACAACAAACGCTGCCCAAAGTGCTGCATAGTAAAAAACAAATACAAAAAAGGCTATAGTAAAAACAGAATAATACATAGTGCAACGCCTCTTAGTTGCCAAAGGCCAGAGTAAAAAGGGGAGTCTTTAATAAAGATTTTAAAACATTTTAAGAGGCTGCACTCCGAATATACAAGGGGAGGCCAGAGTTTAGGAGCAGCTACAGAGAAGGCCCGGACACCTCTCGTTTTCGACCGGGATTTTGGTACATTAAGCAGAAGCTGACTACTCAACATCATCTGTCTGGAGGGGGTGTAAGGGGACAGCATAGGTAGGCTGGGGCCAGATCATTTAGACATTTAAAAACTAGAAACAGTATTTTAGAGACCATTCGATTGCTGACAGGGAGCCGGTGCAGAGACGACAGAACAGGTGTGATGTGCCGTCTACGACTGGTCCCTATCAGCAAATGAGCAGCCGAATTCTGCACGAGCTGCAAACGGTTAAGAGACGACTGGTCTAGGCCACAGTACAAAGAATTATAATAGTCGAGACGGGAGAATATGAACATGTGTACAACACGCTCAAACTTATCAAAGGAAAGATACGCTTTCACTTTGCTTTCACAGTTGAAAATAGCTGGTTTTCACAACAGAAGTGATTTGTCTGTCTAGCTTAAAAGGGACCTTTTTTCATTTTGTTGGTATATTGTGGTCTTTTTTTGTGTTAAATAAAACTCATTTTGACAGATAGAAACCGCTAAGGGTGAAACTATCAATAATGATCATGCAAAAAGAAATTTGCGGAAAAATTGCCTAGACCGGAAGTGACGTACACCTAGGGGTCTTATGGCTTTGTTGATATGCCTTTGTAAGCCATAATGTTGTATACGGACGTTTTAAACAGATATTTGTTATTCAGTGATGGACAATACAAGTTTTTATTTATGAGCTCTTGCGTACTTGTTATGACAGTAATTCTGATTTTGAGGACTGACTTGGTTCAGAGGAGGAGCAATCTTCAAGAATTCAACATTTCCACGGGCTGGACTCATGGATCTATGGTCCGACCGGGTCCGACCCGTCTCGATGTTGCCACCCAAGTCAGTGTAAAAAAGTGTTAGCGAAGGTAGCGCTAGGGACGAAGGAATGGATATCACGGACATCGCAGTGCAGAGAAAAGTAAAGAGGTGAAAAGTGACTACCGTGAAATGAAAGATCCCAGCCGTAAAAGTGGACAGAACCGAAAAGTCTGGAGGTGGTTTGACAACATGGATTATTTTTACGAACACCAGCTAACATGTCAATACCCGCAACACCGAGAGAGAAGCCTCAACTCTATGTCCCAGCTCCAGATGTTGAGTTTGAAAGAAATGGTAAGAGCCTGTCTTCAATCAAATGCAAACAGATATGGTCTTATAGGTTCTAAAGTCTAAAACATGATGTATGTGTCATATCTAGATCTTTTACTAAACGTAGTTAGAGAGTGAAACATGGATTCATGGTTCAATGAGTTGTTGTGTTTCCTGCTGAATACTGGGTTAAAACTCAACGTTAGTTGGAGCTTGATAGAACTAATTTCCGGTGCATCATGGAACTCTCGCTAGTGTCTTCTCTCGGTTTGTTTGGATTGTCGCCTTCTCTGAATAAGTCAAAGATCGTAGGGACTGCCGTTTACACTCTTCTTTCGGTAACTTTCATTGCTGCATCCCGGGGGCATGCAAAATACATCCATTTTAAGGGAATTCTGGTTATTTTTCTCTACAGTCTTATTTGTGTCGCAGCAGAAGCAGTCGTAAACACTAAAGCGAGAGCTTCAACCCCTACAACTACGAACATCAATGTTCTGACCAATCAGAGCCGTTCATATTGAAAACTTATTTTACTGATTTATTAATTATCTATAGCATAAAAACACATTGCTGTGGTGAGTAACGCATGTTTGTTTTGTTGTTAATAAGGATAGTTCCCTTTTAAAGGAGCTGTTCATTAGAACACCAGAAATAATAGCCGCGTTTCCACCACAGGAACTTTTAAGGGGCCCAACTGAGTCCTCCTCCATGATATTTACTCTGTTGGGCCCTGGTGGGACTTGAGGTTAACCCAGCGCTGATTGGCTAAAGCTAGTGCAGGCTGAGACACCAGCAGAAAGCACCAAACATCCGGCATAAGCCCAGCAGCACAACATTGATTCAGAAATGAAATATTAAGACATATCAGCATCACATCGAAGCATTGGGGATTCATCACACTCCAAAACAAGCCGTGAAAAGTTTTTAAAAACTGAAGCAGGACTATAAAACACTCAAAGACCACAACAACTGGAGCGGTTACGACTGTACAATAAACAAATGGGTTTGGCGCATGGATCTATAATAATAACGGGTTTGGCGTAATGAGTTTCGCATATGCGGCAATTGAAACTCATGACATCGCCGAGTGGTCCTACTCTGAAGTGGAGACACGGACACTGATAGGACAGAGGGAGAGGAAGGTTCCTGTAAAAGTTACACCCCGCTCCTTTTACCAAGAACTCCAGCAGTGGAAACGCAGCTAATGTTAATATTTACCAACGGGGGCTCCAAAGGCCGCAGAGACACCGGCTGCAGCTCCGGCGGATACAAAGTCCCTCTTTTCTGTGTCACGGCGGAAGTACTCAAACATCTGCAAACAAAAAGCATGAGAGTCCTTATGGGCCAGAGAAAGTACTGTCAAGTTGAAAAATGCCACACACAAAAGCCTGACCTAGTAAACGCACAGAGATGTAAAAGGGCAGAATGCTTACTTTAAAATCTTTCTTTAAGGACGTGCTTCGGCCTTGAGAAACCCCGGCTGCAACAACTGCCCCCGAGTGAATCATGGGGCCTTCCTGAAAGATATCGAGATCAATGAAAATTCAATACAGTGAACTGAAATGCGAAACATGGAGAAAACACCTGAATAATACATTTTTATCTGTTATGCGGTTTCCTCTAGACACGTACAAGAGCCAACCAGGTAACTTTATAGTACAAGCTTGACTCAAACTTATCATAGGGCCTTAAAAGTGAAGTCTTCTTACTCTGTAACCGTTTGTGTAAAACTCTCCATTTTGGGCTCAAAAATCTGTAGTTCACCACTCGATCCTGGAGTTATTATTTTGACATTGTGTTTGTGAATCTAGATATCAGCCCTAGCAACCAATCAGGAGCGTTGAGTGGATAATTAACTAATACTAACTGATTGGCTTCATATTGCACCTGCGATGATGTCGTTGTGATGTCGTCTTCAAGATGTTTTTGTCTGGCCTTTCATTTGACAATATGGATAAAAATGATTTCATGTGAGTTTATGGAATTATAATTTAGCATTTTTAATGTGAGGTGGGTTACGCCACTGGGTTGTCTCCATGGCAATAGAGCAGTTTCACAGCTACACTGTTAAGTAAGTGAATTGCTGTGGTTCATTATTTTTATTGAAACCTCACCTTTCCCACAGCAAGACCACCAACGACCGAGCATATGACCCCAACAACTTTAACAATCAGAGTCTGTTGAACAGAACATAAATATGATGACATGAACGTGCTTTCAGAGGCTGCATGTTCCCTCTTTACCTTGAGCCGCACCACTCGCGGAATCTTTACTCCGTTCAGGTAACATTTAATCTGAGGTATCCCACTACCTCCAGCAATGGGCTAAATGGAAAAATGTACAGTTACAACCAACCAAACTTTGCACAAATCATTGTAGACAAGATGGGTTTGGTAAACGGAACAAAAAATAGGAAGATATTTGCCACAATTTTCATTGTTACAAATTGTGGAATTTTAATTCAGTTTCACTTCTACTTACAGTAAAATATGCCTTAGGGTAGACCACATTCCCTTGTGATTTGAAAGAGTACAACCTTACAACCTAACATTAGTCAAAAGCTAAAAGATAAGACACCAAGTTTGGACACATTTAAGATATTTTGTAATGCTGTTTAGGTAATGCCACCAGTGAGCGTAAATACTTTATAAATACCATTTTTGGCCATAAACGAATATTCTATTGAACAATTCTTTGCTCTGAAGAGCTGCTTTCGTCTTGAGGCCTTCATCAAACAAAACAGTAAAACACAATAAGTCTACATTCCTGCACTAATGTACTGCATGAAAAGTTTGGGGCAATTAGGGAATAAAAATATATAATATAATATCAAAATATTGGGCTAAATATTGTCCAAATTAAATCAAACTAAACAGCTTTCTGGTTATTGCAAGCCCCTGCTAGCCCTGTTCTGATCTAGAAGAACTTCTCACCTCAAAGAATGCAACAAGGATGGAGCCCATCATGACCACAGCAGCATTAAAACCACCCCAGAGGATAAGCGAAATAGAAAGCCCGCCTGTCTCTGTGAAGTTTTCAATATCTGTCAGAGATCAGAGGTCAAGGATTGTCTTTGTCAGAAATCAGATGGTTCGAATCCAAGAGGAAAAGAGGAATTCCTCAAGGATTTCAATCATGTAAAAATGGGACACACATACACAGACAAAATCAGGGAGTAGTAATATCATACAATCTAATACGACTTATGTATTAACGACTTAAAATGTTTATTTTCAAATTAATTTTAAGTTACTAAACAATATGAAAACACTACATTAGGATACTTCTTTTGATGACCTCATATTTGAGGCCTGCAAGGTTTTCCACTGCAATATCTATAAAACAGGCAATGAGCCCGGTCAGGAAGCCGATGAGACCACACACCACCCAACGACTGATCTCCAGACACTGGAAACCCTACAAACACAAAAAACTTTTCAATTAAAAAACCTTTTCACAAAACATTTCTATTTAGTTCTGTTGAGGTCATACCATGTGACTCATCCGTCTCTCCTCCTCAAGAAACAATTGATTCTCAATGTTATCATAGTCCAGACCCTGGAAAGAGAGAATATATATTATCATACATCTAGAGTTGGATATGAGGCGAAATATAAGCAAGGTTTGAACACAGGGCATACTTTAAACAGAATTTAAATGAGTGGAAGGTGAACAGCTAAACACTAAAATATAGGCATCAGTCATGATAGAGACACCAGTGTAACGTTTGTGCCATATAAGCCAAATTGGAGCAGTAGCCTCCTGCTGGGACTTTGAGTTGCCTTGTGCATGAGTTGAGCTATACAAATAAACTTGCCTTGGCTTAAAATAACTTGAAATGTATCACTAACTGGTTTAACAGAGCAGTAAAACATAGTTGTCAAAGATTTAAGTGAGAACACATACTTCATATTTAAGTGACAGAAGCTTCTCATTGTGTGGGATTTCTCGTGTTTGAGCGCGAATCAAATCCTGGTAGAGAAAGAAACAAAAGTCACGCGTTAGGTCTGAATGCTTTCGTGTCCTGAGCAGCCAAAAGCCAAGCGGCAGCGTTAACAATTTTGTACATACTGTAAATAGAAGAAGTGCGACGAGCGGAACATACAGATCACAATTACATGCAGCATTTTGTGAGACAAGCCAACACAACAAGACTACTTTATTATAGAAAACAACATGCAGAACAATTAATGCTATCTGAGGCTTCCTAAATGGAACACTGGACAGCACAGACAGTTTGATAAAATGGCAATAGTGACCAACTAACCAAACCAGTCGACAACCTTCTCAAGAAACAGTTCTGAAGGTTTACACAGCATCGCACTGATAAATTGATTCCATCCTGATTAGAAACGCATTGCTGACATCCTGACAGCAGTTTCCAAGTCATGTGCTTCTCACACACACACGCACTGGATGAGTCAAAAGTGTTGCCTCTCTATAGCGATTTAGTTTGAACGTACAACTTAAAGAAGGACGGCAAGCAGGAAAGCTGACAAAGGATGAGGGGTAAAATAGACTGCGATGTGAATAGTGTAAAAACAGGCGAGAGAGATGTGAACATAAAAAGCAAGATACGTTTTTGCTTTGACTGCAAGTTTTACCTCATCTGCTGTCATTTTCTCCTCCAACTCCACCGTGGTTAGTCTGCCTATCTGAAATACACTGCCCTCTCCAGCGTGCTGAAGACCACACACACAAATGATCTCACCACAAACTTAAAGGAGACGGGACTTTCAACAAGTCTACAAGTACACGGCTATACATTTAGCCCCAACTGAATGCACACTGTTAAAAATATCCTGATTTCCTGCTGACACACAGGTTAAAATGGACACAAACTAGGAAACAGGAAGAAGGAATTCTTGTATCAACAAGGGTCAGAGCAAACGTTTTACAATATTACGAGGAAGTTTGGCTAATGGGAAACACCAAACGAACAAAAACAATGTTAACGGGCACTAACGACTTCCTTGATAAAAGTCATTTGTAACAGCCCACATTCTTTCCTACAAATAGAAGCAACAAAAAGAATACAGCAAGTATTCACTCTTGTGAATGCTCAGTTTCATCAGTTATGCAAATATTCTTAACAGTCTCTATCATGAAACAAGTCAACTAATTGTAATTTAATCCAAAACAAAATACGTATCATTGTAACAGGGCAGACTCTGATCACTCTATAATGACTACAGGATGAAATGATAATGTACTGTATTTACAAAGTATTTCTAATCAAACAGAAATGCAAGTCCTCTCTATGAAGGTGTTCTACAGGGGCATAACTTTTCAGGACTGTGCTAAAATAATTGTTAATCACAGACCTACAGGTATGAGAGAAAACATGTAACATTACATGCGTATGTAAGTGATTTAAATAATTTGACTGCTTTAGTTTATTTTTCCATGTATACCTTATTTAAGGGCCTGTCATATTTATGCAATTTTACACATCGAGGCTGATCATAAAATGTGCCACGGTTTGTCAGTCTTTTATTAATAAACTTTCTTGCACTTTATCCAGTCCATTTACTGACGTGTTGCCGCTCAGATCACGAGCACATGCAATAAAAGGCCAAATAAAAGTTCATAAATTAGAGATGACATAATGTGACTCAAAATATGACAGACCCTGACCTGCTGTTAATGCTGCCGCTTTGGCCCAGGCTTTACACTTTCACAGCAATAAGCAGTGGACATTATGAGGTTGGGTGAGGCCAAATATAATCAAATAAAATAACAATGACTTGTGAAGCGCTTTGCATATTTGACGTCTTTTTGCACCGTATACTTCCTCGTAGACTTCCTCTTGCCAATAAAAATAATTCTGATTCTGATGTGCTCAAAGCTGATTTGTAAGTTTGTGCACAAGTCATTCATTCATTCTTTTTACAGAGACGGCAATTAAAGATACCTAGGGGTGCCAATTTTGCACAGGAAGTAGATTTGAATTAAATGCGTCCAGCTGTTTCCTGTGTGTCACATATAGTTTTCACATGCATTATAGTTTGGTCATGACCAGAGAGCAGCTTCACACACAAAGGGAATCATTCTGTAGCAAACTAATTTATGACACAAAGTTTGACATTTCTATAATACATTCTAAAGCTGGGCTGGGCAATGATCTTCTCCAGGGGGACAGGTTGAAAAAACCAGAATTTAAATGTACTTTGATGTTAACTTTAAGCCAGATATTCATGAATCATGAAATAGTTTATTATTTTAGTTAATTAGTAATTTAGTTAGTTTAGTTGTGTACGGTATGGGTCAGGTATGTAATATAAATTAGTGCATTTGCCACGCCCCCGTGAAATCGATAGGGCAGTTTAGTCGACCGAGAATGTATTTGGTCGACTTCAACCCTAGATTACAGAATGAACGGGACAATAAGGGGAAAAAAAAAAAAAACTTGCAACATCTTCACGTACATCATGTTTGCGAGTTATCCAATCATTTGTTAAAAACACTTTATAACTATGTTTGGCTAAATAATCACATTGTATTTTGCATTATATAATAGTCGTTATAATTGTTCTGAATAAACAGGACATCTGATCCCATCATGACAGTCTTGCTGGCCCTCCCTGTTACCTGTCTGGAGAAGCGGGGCCCCTCAGAGCCGTTCAGCAGCGGTGTACCCTCCCCGACCCCCGTGGACGCAGACGACGCAGACTCGTCCGCTCGGCTCGACCACGACACTTTCTTGGTGATGTTGGCCATGTGTTTCCTCAGTTAAATGCAGAGGAATGCAGAGAAATGCAGTGCTGAGGTTACACACTTTAATATTATTGTTCCTCAACTACGATCATCCCTGAACCTCGTGACGTGTACGGCCGCCGAGGAGGGACAAACGGACACGCGCTTGGCATTCTGGGACTTGAAGTTTCGAAAGATGTGAAACTTGCAACATATTCGCACGTGGAAATTGGATTTAAAAAACGACACTGAAATAGGTTCTTGTGAGTGTTATTTTGTTTGAGTTGACTTTCATTTTATATCTTTCATGTCTCTGATTTAAAGTGATCTACAAAAATGCCTGCGACCTGCGTTTTTAAATCAAAAACTGAAAAATGAGGCTTGTATAAGTGACCACACTGCATGTCTTAATGCTTTCTGTTCGGGGGTACAACTCTACAAGCTTTGCACATCTAAAAGTTTTGCCCATCCATCCTTACAAAACAATTAAAACTTTGATGGAGAGTGTTTGTGAACAGCAGATTTTCACCTGGACTTAGGTTTGGACTTTGACTGGGCCATTCTACCACAGTGAATGAATTGCCTTTGTTTTGTCTTAACCATTCAGATAGATAGATAGAAAGATAGACAGATAGATACTTTATTGATCCCTTGGAGAAATTCAGGTTGATAGTAGCAGCAAAACACATTCATCCACACAAACAAAACAAATACATTGATTTTTCTTAACAATAGTAATATTAAAATGCAACAGCAGAGGTGGTGTAGCCGCTGGGTGGCGCAGGACAGGTCACAGCAGCAGGGGTGGAGTAGCCGCTGGGTGGAGTAGGACAGGTCACAGCAGCAGAGGTACAGCTGCTGGGTGGGGCAGGACTTATTTACAGTCTATGGGCAGGACAGGTCACAGCAGCAGGGGTGGAGCAGGACAGGTCACAGCAGCAGAGGTGGAGCAGCCGCTTGGTTCGGACTTTGTTCTCTGCTCTAGTCCAAAGTAATATGCTAAATGCTTCATTTAGCTTTGCATTTCTCCAGTGGATTTTCGCCTGATCAACTTGGTTCAGACCATGAATCCTCTCCGCTCTGGTCTGGACCAGTGCAAAACCAGGAACACTATACTGCAGTAACATCTCAGGTAGAAAAAAGCAAGAAAAAAAAACATTGTAAAACACAAAACAAATACTGTTTCAGAGCTACTTATGATTTTATGCTGTTTCCAACGCTTTCAAAAGTAAATGTGTAAAAGTGTCAAAGTAAAAGTGTATGAAAATAAATTAGGAAATTGGGGTGGAGGGTAAACATCCACCACATAAAACCAAGTGCATTTTTGTACTAATTTAAACACTTTTTCCCCCTTTTTCAAATACCCATGCTATGATTTTTTGTGGCAATATTTCAGCACAGACTTTCTATTTACCATTCGTGCATAAAGGCCATATTTTTGTAGTGTAAGACTAATTTTTGCCTCATGTACAGATTACCCCTGGTGAGCTGTAGATGTAAGCTCAAGAGTAACCATTGGCTCCGTGGGTGATCAGTGTTGTCCTTGTTCAACCTATGAGTTGGAGCAGAAAGCTGAGTCTTGGTAGATTTGCAGTTGTGCCATACTCTTTCCATAGATGATGGATACAACTGTGAGATGTGAGCTTTGTGAGATGTTTAAAGGATGGGAATGTATAACCTAAATGTGTTTTATACTTCTCCACACAACTGGAACATGACAATATGTTCAAAAGTCTGTGAGCGTGTGTGTGTGTGTGTTTTGTTTTTAAAAATACAGATTAAGAAAATTATAATAAAAATAAAACAAAACCATAAAATAATGCATGACAAATAAGTAAACCAATGTGTATGACCAATATACATTCTGTCTTCAGGGAAACATAAAAAGTGCACAATAGGCAGAAAGCAGGTTCTGCTTTTATTCTTCCACATGTCTCAATCCTGGAATTCCACTTTTTTCATATTAATAACTTAATTCAATGTACTGCTATTGTTACAACAAATAATAATAATAATGAAAAGAAGTTTATATTTCAACATGGTAAAGTGAATAAAAACATTCATACATGTCTGTTTTTAAGGGTTTTTTGTCTTAAGTTTTTCTCTATTAATGATGTTTCGTTTTCAGTTTCAAAGTGACTAACTGGAATTTACAACTATCACATATGTGGAAATAGAGTTGCTGACCTCTCTTGCTTAATGAGGAAAACCCATCCAAGCATTTGTCTGTTCGTTGGACGGACAATAACTTATTTTACGCATTCTTTTGTAATATTTCATGGTTATTTGACTTAACAAAGCACTTTGACAACTGTACTGTAACTGTAACAGTTCCACAGCAGACATGGCAAAAGACGAAAGGACACCACTGCTGAGAACGAGAAAAGAAAAGGTAAGATTTATCACAATTAAATGCGTTAGTACCATTTCACTCAATTTAAACTTATTTAATCAGTGTTTGCCCTTGTAACAACAAATTATTTGTTCACTTAAGCCAACTTATAATGTGCAGTCTTAAGATCAACTGTTAAATGGAAACTTTCTCTTTTAAATCTACATAAAGAAAATCATTTGAACTGAAGATATGTTGAAAAACAATAAACTATGAGTGGAGTGATGATGTCCATATTTGATGCTCTTGCAGTTTACAGATGACATCTTCATGTTGTAAATGTTCATACAAACAGAAAGACTTTACATTTTCCAAACTTATGGTTTTGATATAATGAAGATAAATCAGCCTGATGAAGCCTCTGAAGTGTGTTCACGACTATTTTGTAACTGACTTGTGTACTGTTTTTTATATTATGTTTTTAATTGTGAAGCGCTTTGTGATCCTGCTCTGTGAATGGCGCTACATAAATAAGCTTTACTTACCTTACTTATTTACGCACTTTTTTACATCCATATTCTCTCAGATCACCAGCTGTTTTGCATGGTCTCTACAGGAGCAGCTAATAATGTAATCACTTTCAGATCCGAAATTCCAGACTCTTGCTGGCGGTCTTCTCTGCTGTCCTGGGAAACTTCAGCTTCGGGTATTCCTTGGTGTACCCCTCCCCAGTCCTGCCCGAGCTGCAGGGTTCAGATTCTGATCCCAGATTGAGGATGAACACTACACAGGCAGCCTTATTTGGCTCCATCTACACTCTGGGGGCCGCTGCCGGGGGGCTCGGGTCCATGTTGCTCAATGACATGTTAGGCCGAAAAATGAGCATAATTATATCTGCCGTTCCATCATCTATCGGGTGTGTAGGAGCTTCAATTAATCAGTTATTATCATTTATGTATGTAAATTAATGTTTTCATTCATGTCATTGTTCCATTGTCGATCACAGGTACATGCTGATGGGAGGGGCTTTCAACTTACGAATGCTTTATGTGGGGCGCTTCCTCACAGGTTTAGCTGGAGGAATGACAGCTTCATCCATACCTGTAAGCCCACCTCCTCCAATCCCCTATCTGATGAATGAATGAAGTTTATTTCGGTCACTTGTACAATTTTACACATTGTATCAGTAAATTACATTAAAAAGAAAGACCGAAAAGGATTAGGCTGAAGCTAATGCTTATTTTGCCTACCCTTTTTACAGTGCAATTAGTATACATTACATTAGTGAATGTATGCAATAGGATTTACAGAAGCACTGTACTGTATAAGCATCAAGTAACCATCCAAAGTGATAGTTTTGAACTTCTTTTTAAAGGAAATACTGAATTACATAATCCGTGCATCCATTCCAGATATCAGAAAAACAATATTTCAACTTCTTATTTCTTTAATGAAAAGTAAAAAAAAAAACTAAACTCACTGATCCACACAAATATTATAAAAAGTACTTTACAATAAATAAAATATAGACGTTGCCCCATTGACAAATGTCTTGAAATTAACTTCTTAAAAAGTCAAGACAAACTTATGTCCATTTTGTTTATTCCAGATCATCCTATTATTTGTTTTGTTTTATTATTCAATGGTAAAATAATATATATAATTGGTGAAAAATTTACAGCATTTTTCATTATTTATAAACTAAATCCAGCTCTTGTTTGGATGGTTACTCATGGCTTGGCGTCGTAAATTGATTGTGGGTCCCCTACACAATTTCAGTTTAGAACCACTACCATAAAACATTGAACTGAAAATGTGTTATCTACTGTATATTCTGTTGTTTGGGACAGGTGTACATCTCTGAAATCTCCCATAAGGCAGTGAGAGGGGCTCTGGGTTCCTGTCCTCAGATCACTGCGGTGTTTGGGTCATTAACTCTTTACATACTTGGTAATTTCATTTCTTCAGTTAAAAGCTACAGTATTTTCCTCCATACTGGGGTCTTAATACCGTGATGACTTCCTACAGGCTTGTGGGTGCCCTGGCGCTGGTTGGCCATCGCAGGAGCAGTGCCAGCGGTGATAATGGTTGTACTGTTGTCCTTCATGCCCTCTTCTCCCAGGAGACTGCTGTGTATCGGCAGAGAGGAGAAAGCAGAACAGGCTCTGCGATGGCTCAGGGGCCCTGACTATGACCCCAATCCAGAGCTCAGTGGAATACAGGTAACATAAGAACAAACTATAAAACCACCAAAACATATCGTTCAATCTGTCTTTACAAATAAAGATTACTTACTTACTGTCTGACAAGTATGTTTTGGCCTCTGTTGCAGCTTCAAATAGAAGTATGCACAATGTTAATTGCTTTGGTGGTTTGCTTCATGTGGTTGTCTGATTTGTTTACAAAAAGTCACTTTTACAAAAATCTTTTGTTTTGACAAAAAGTATTATATCTGGGGTAAAACCATACACAGATCATTACTTTTGTGGTGAAAATCTACTATTGTTTGTGATGAGACAGGCAACCTTTTACAATAAAGGCTTGGATATTGTATACTAGGAACTGTCCACATCAAGGGGAGACGCTAAAGTCACATTTTCTTTAAATTTCTATATTTGTTTAGATGTTCATGTTTTGTTTTGGTTCCTGCTCTAGACTAGCCTGGTCTTACCACACCATCGTACAAATGTCATTTTGTACATGTAGGGAAATAATGATTGACTGGAGTTTATGGAATGGCTAAGGCCAGACTAGCTCTTGACCTGTGTTTGTGTTTATGTGCTTGTTCTGCACATTTGAAGAACAAAAATCTTACCTCGCATCTTCAAAGACTAGATTGGACCTTCATAAATCCAATCTAGTTTTTGACATTATTTTTGTTATATAATATAAATCATTTCACGGCTACCAGTGATACAGTTTGTTATCTATTCCAGCACAGCATCCGCATGCAGAAGAAAGTGTCCTGGTCTGAGTTGGGCACACCTGAGTATTACAAACCAATCCTTATCTCTGTTGGGATGCGCTTCCTCCAGCAGATGACAGGCATCACTCCAATCCTCATTTACCTGCAAACCATTTTCACCAAGAGCAAAGTGTCCCTCCCGCCTCAGTAAGCAACCTGGCAATGGATTTTAATTGAAAATCACAGGCTTGACTCAAACATGTGTCTCATCTTCAGGTATGATGCGGCTCTGGTGGGAGTGATACGACTATTGTCCGTCTTATTGGCAGCCAGTTTAATGGACAAAGCTGGGCGCAAAGCGTTATTGTACACGTCAAGCATGCTCATGTTCCTCTCCTCTCTGACGTTGACGATCACCTCCCACAGCACTCCTTGCCCTGGCTCTCAGAACAGGACAGCCCTGAACTCCCACTATGCTCTAGGCAACGGAACTACAGCCCTGGCCCAGACTGATACGACTCTTATTCCAGTCATAAGCACAATGGTGTTCATCTTTGGTGAGTGTTGGAGAAAATTCACTGGAAAATATGTATAATAACTACTATACTATGTGGTCCATGGTTTGAGAAGAGGGTAGTGGGTGACTAATTGCGAAAACATGCATTGTATTTAGTAAGTACTGTATGCAGTGTAGTCATACAGAGGGAAGAAAGAAAAAAGTAGTAAAACAGCGTGTGTGGGCAGCACAGTTTGCACTGGTCCTGGGTAAGATTTCCCCTCCCTTTGAGTTTACATGTTCCTCAGATAACATAAGATAAGAGATCCCACAGTGGGGAACTTTTAATCCCTGTGTCTACGTAGATTTCCTTAGAGTCCTTGGATTTCCAAAGATTTTTATTAACAGTTACAAGCACACCAAAAATTGTAGAGGGTTTTGTGTGACCTTGGTTTGTAAAATGCACTATATAGATATGGCTTCCAGATCCCGTCAAACCTCTAAAGCTGTGCAGGGGAAGACCTGGTTAGTATTGTGATGGAAGACCTCTGGGAACACTAGATGCCACAGTGGGCCGGCTGTAAAGTGCCAAACTGTTGTTGTGTTAGACACTTCACCAACATTACCTAGAATTAGTCTTGTGTGCGTGTGAATGGCTTTGGGAAAGGCCGATAGTAGGCCAATACTAGTTGCCTCGCCTCTGTCAGTGTGCCCCAGGGCAGCTGTGGCTACAGTAGTGGTTTATTACAGCCGTGTATGGAGTGAATTAATAATGACATGTGAAGCGTCTGTGAGTGTCCAAAAAAGTGCCATATAAAACCAATGCATTATCCTATAGAGAACTTACTTACAAAACGTTGGGGTTAGATTCCTGCATCCTTCTGACATAAAACATCATTATTCGAGCACAGAATCACTTATCTGCAAGTCGGAAAGTGTGAAACCAGTTCCTATTGGTGAATTCTGTAGTTGGTCCTTGTGCAAGACACTTCACCCAACCCCAGTGTCTGCATACAGTACACACTATTTGATGAATGGTGAATGGTTTCATGATGTGCCAGGTGAGTCATTTGCATAGGTACTTAGCATAGGTAACCGCCCATTAATGCCCATAAAAGGGACAGCAGGGCCGTGTGCAGAAGCCAGAGGCAACATTTAAGCATGGATCTATAATAACTGGATAGGGTATTACTAGCTTATAGCTGTCCCACCCACGGGCAGAGGGGGCGCCCGTGGTACTGCAGACTAAATTCACCCAGAAATTTTCTCAATGTAAACTAAAACAGCTCGACCTCAGCTGAAGATCGGATTTTGTGGGGATTATAGTGTTCCTTGGCATCCTGAACTTGTTTTCTTCTTAAATCCTTCAGTTTTCTTTAAATCTACACTTTACCGCAACAAACTCTGCTCGTTTCCTTCCCGCTCTAGCTCCGCTCTACCGCTGCTCTGATCAGCAGCGCTGATTGGTCAAAAGGCGGCCGAGCCCCTCTGTGCACATGCATGAGAGCCACACACGCGTATTTGGCGCAACGCATCATGGGAGCTCGTTCACTGCGCAGATGCCCAAATATAGGTAAATTCCGCTAATATATCAGCACCCATAATTTCCCATGCGCTACTGAGCACAAGCCATTCATTTGAATAGGGCGCCATCTTGGATCACCGGGGGCTTGGATTTAAGTCATAAAATGTTGACTTTGAAGTCGAAATATTATGAGAATAAAGTAAAAACTTGCAAAATTATGATATTAATCTAAAAAATATTGTGAGATTAATTTAGAAAAATATTGTGAGATTAATTTGAAAATATTATGTATTATTTTAAATATTAATCTCAAAATATTGTGAGATTAATCATAAGATATTTTGGACCCTGGGAGGAGATCCAGCGCTGAGACCAATGCAGACCCAAGAGACCATAGACTGGAGAGACTATTGACCCCTTGCATGTGACGTCCCGGCCACGGCCATGCTCCATGACAGACGGCGGAAGTCTAACTGCGAGCCTTCGGAAACTTCACCAAAACAACCGGTTTCACCAAATAACAGCCAAAACTGTGATATTTTGCAGTGCGGGTGGTTGTACTAACAAGCAAGGACATAAGCCAAATGTGTCTTTTTATCTGACACCTGCTCGTTGTGAAGACAGAGGACGACGATGGCCAGCGGAAATCAACCAAAAGGACTGGGAGCCATCCACATACTCCCGAATTCGCAGTGAACACATTTTACAAGCCATATCAATCACAATTTTGTATTTAATTTCTTTCCATTAATTTATTTGAAGGAAAATGACACAACAAACGCTTGTCCTTACTACTGTGCTGTATGTGCGCTGCAAGATTAAAATTTCCTCACTGTGGCACGATTAAAGGATCTCTTTTCTTAGGCGTCAGTTGCGTTTTTCACTATTTTCCTCTCTGTCAATATGTATCATGTTTGGCTGTAGACAGAAAAGTGGACTATTGCTAACGTGCTAATGCTACCAGCACAATTTACATTTAAATCTGCTCCAGTGTCAGGGGATGCATTGTTAACGACGTAATAGTAAAGATCATGTGGCGGTGAAGTCGGGCAAAATTGGACATTTCATTTAATTGATAAAATTGACTGAGGGGAGAAGGTCAGTATTTTCGGGTCAACATCCAGTTTGGCGATCCTTAACTTCTCCAAAAACAGCTCTTTGTGAGCCCTGACAAGATGTTCTACTTTCACCGATAACGTTATTGAACATGTACTTGAAGCAGCCACTTCTCGATTTAGGAGAGGACTCTCAGTTTTTATGATTTGTAGTCCGTTTTGGTCTCGCCGCAATGCTAGTTTCTACTTCTTCCACCGTAAGCTCATACACAATCACGTGACTGGATGACGTCGATGCATCTGGTCAATAGACTGGAAAGACCAGCACACAGAGACCAGCGTGGACCGAGGACAGACCAGTGCGAACACGGAGAGACCAGTGCGAACACGAGGAGAGACCAGTGCGAACACGAGGAGAGACCAGCGCGGACCCGTAATAGATCCATGGGAGAGACCAACGCGGACCCGTATAGATCCATGGGAGAGACCAGCGCGGAGACTCATCGCGGACCCCACAACCTCCTGCAGCAGCAGTATATATGCTATTGCTCTGTGGCCCGTGGATGGAGAAATGCCCCGTATATATGGGATGGGGTCACTAATAGGCGACACGGTGGCTGAGTGGATAGCACTCTCGTTTCTCAGCAAGAAGGTCCTGGGTTCTGGTCGGAACAGGGCCTTTCTGAGTGGAGTTTGCATGTTCTCCCTGTGTCTGCTTAGGTTTCCTCCGGGTGTTCCGGTTTCCCCTACCACTAAAAACATGTATAACAGGTCTCGCATGCGCCTCCTGTACTGGCGACCCTGCTCCCATCTCTTTGTGGAGTGAGAGGACAAATGCCCGAAAAATAACAATTGTAAACCGCTTTGTGACTCTGGTCTGTGAAAGGTGGTATATACAAAAAAAGATGACTACTTACTACTTGTAGACGGCATGATGTATTTTATAAAGCGTTGGCACATTTAATTTTAAAAATAATTTTAAAAAGACTAAATTAACATTACAAATGGTAGCGACAATGGGGGCGACAGTGGCTCAGTTGGTAGTTTACAGGTGTTTGGACCTAATGGTCGTGGGTTTGAGCCCCCACGACCCATGTCACCAGCTCCCACTAATGTCTGCAATTGTTGTGTTTCTGGGCGAGACACTTAACCCCACATTGCCCAAAGCCCCCTCAAGTCGTTCTTAAGTAGATTTCTAAGAAGATCCTACATGGGATTCATCAACGCGCTCGTAAGCCGCTGAATTGTTTGCAGCTGTTCTCTTAGGCTGAGTTTATACTGAGACGCTGCGCAGACGTTTCCAGGCTATTAACAGAAACGACCAGGCTCCTAATGCAAATTTCTCAGCGTACATACGAGTTTGAAAAACGATGTAGTTGTAGCGCCCGGCCAGTAGTGGGCAGAGAAACTTTACAACACTCACACGACCACCCCCCCGACAGTGCCCTCACTTCCTCTGGAAAGACGCAGAAGAACAGGGCAAGAACGCACCGACATTATTCTGCCTTTTAATAGCAGCTGTGAAAATGGAAACTGAACCTAAAGCTTTGTGTGGTCTCGTTTGGACCATGTGCTGTGCTGTGCTCGAAGCCCAAGAAGCTAGTTCGTGTACCCGCCGCCATTGTTGTCTCCGCTACTGCGCATGTCCAAATTTACGTGCGGGGAGCAGCGCGGAGGTGGGGGTCAGATCAGGCAAAGAATTCACACCTTTTTTTCCCTCACGCGGGTGTGAAAGAGCTCCCTGCTGTGCAGCGTATCTGAGCTGTCCCACTTTGCAGGCTGGATCTGAATACTTAAGTTTTGACCCCCCTGGAACACAGTCTTCGTATGTACGGTTGCTAGAAACCGACATACAACTATACCGTTTTACTGCCACATTGTCTCCGTGTAAACTCAGCCTTAGATTGATGAATGTCATCTCCTCGTAAATTGAGCGCGCGTGCCAGGTGAGTCATTAGCATAAGTACTTAGCATAGGTAACTGCCCATTAATGCCCATAAAAGGGACTGCAGGGCCATGTGCAGACGCCAGAGGAAACAGCAACATGCCTAAAGCAAAGAGTTACACGGAGCAAAAGAGTCACCCTTTTTTCTTCTTTTGCCAGACTGAGAATAAAGTCATAAAATGTTGACTTAAAAGTCGAAATATTATATATTATTATTATAAAGTCGAACTAGCAAAATTATGAGATTAATCTAAAAATATGATGAGATTAATCTCAAAATGCTATGCTATAAATTTAAAAATATATTATGTATTAATTTAAAAATGAATCTCAAAATGTTTTGAGATGAATCTAAAAATATTTTGGACCCTGGGAGGAGATCCAGCGCGGACCAGCGCTGAGACCAATGCAGACCCGAGGAGAGACTGGAGTGACCAGCACATAGAAACCAGCGCGGACAGGAGAGACCGCATAGACTGAGAGACCTGACTGAAGAAGAGAGACCGCATACCAGACTGGAGAGACCAGCGCGGACC